AATGACAACGACGCTCAAAATGTCACCCACCCACCCAAACGGCAAGCATTTCAAATTAGATGTTATAATTATTGGTCAGTCTTTGACATTGATCAGGTAAGAATTGAATAGCCCATAGGACCGCTGTCGTCACTGTCCTTTAAGTAATATTAACAATACATTTCTATCAGTAATAACATTAAAACAAATGAAAAATATAGTTAGGCTCACATTTGCTGCAAAATCCACATACATAGATATATATGATTGTTAAAATTATTGACACAGACGAAGGCCATTTGTTCAGCCGAATTGTTTGTCAACATGATTTGTTAACATCAACTTCGTATATTACCATCTTATTTTAGTACCTATATGCAAATCCTTTCAATTTATGATTTTTTTCCTTATCTGCGCAGTATCGTCTGTTCTAGAAATTAGATCCGGAACATATTTATTTTGCTTGTTGATCCTTTTTATAGACTTCTATAACTCTGTTGATCACAAATGATATTTTTTGTTATATTGAGAATTCGGGGGATAAATACAACCACCTTCAAATATTGGTTTACATGTGTGTGTAACACGGGAACATACGCATGGCAACTTATACAAGATTAAACTATTCTTTATTTGGACTTTCAGTTATTTTAAGTTTTCCGTTATTTAAAATTTTTGAATTTCGTAAAAAAAATAATCGGACGCAACATTATTGCCAGCTTTTGAATACAAGGAATATAATGGTTGGTTTCTTATTTATGGATTGAACTAAAGAACATAAGGCGGTATTATTTATTGCATTTCACTAAAACAAGCTGTTACCATTTTAAAGGGTTTAATTATGTCCGACATTTTTGTATGTTCAATAAATATGTATGTCTTTCTATTTGCAGAACACAGAAGATCATTAACAAGTGCCCCAGACTACAGATATTCATCAAAAACTATGGGTTTAGTTGGAACAGTGTGTATTGCGGTCGTTGTTGGATTTCTTGTAGCATTCGATTGTGTCAACATTTGTCAAAAATGTTCAAAGACAAGGAAAGTGACCACAGAGAAATAAAAGTACACTAACGAAAAAATCAATGAAGGAAATGAACTAGGACAAAAAGCATGAACTAAGAGTGATTTGATTCGACAGAATTTATGGTTGTTTATTCCTTTGCTATAGGTAAGAAGAACAGATTATTTTACATGAAGCAGAATAAGATTAATGCACGTCAAGCAGGCTACCTTTTTTCATAAATCTTTTATTACATTTAGTAAAAGGGAAAAGACAGGCCGATAGGGTTGAAGTGTCCATCTCAATTTGCAATATGCAAATAGATGGATTAAGACGTAAACATTCTGCAAAAAGTAATAGCTAGGTTTTATGTTATAAATAAATGACAGGTATTAGTAGCAAAACTCCAATAAAATAACAGAGGTTTTTTTTTTTACGTCCGATCACATTTCTAGGTATCATTACAATTTTCTATAATAAATTTCTTAAATGAGGTTAAAGGTTAAATTAGTCATTCAGTTGCACACAATATGAATAACAATGTTTTTTTAACAGTTGGCTGAAACTCAAAACTGACTCTTAATAAAAAAGAAAAAGAACACACATGTCCAGTGAGTTTGAAAATGTTAATGTACCAGTAACAAGATTTATTAGTATTTGTTTTGTAATAAAGAGAAATTTTCATTCTAGTGACTAGACATGTAGTTTATGCATTATGTATAAAATAATTTATAGTCTGTTTAATGTTTTATACACCTTGTATGGAGAATAGATTTGTTTTAATAATTCATTTTCAATGCATTACATCTTACCAATACTGTACGAGTAATACTATAGTTAACACTAGGCCACCGAAAGCTGCATTATTTAGTTCAGTCTAGGTGGCCGAGTGTCTAGAGCGATGGACACAGTGCAGGCGGTATTGTCTCGATATCCCAATAGCATGAGTTCGAATCCCGGCGAGGGAAAAACAAAAATTTGTCTCCGCAAATTTGCAGATTTAACATTTTTGCGCTGATATTTAGAGCAATGATAGCTATATATATATATATATATATGCTCGGAAATTAAATTTCATATCTTATTAGTATTCGTATTCGTATTTACATGAATTTTCATATGGTTGCTGTATATTGATGATTTCTTGTCAATTTAGTGTATGATTATTGTGATTATTAGCTTTATTATACTATGTATTTTAGGAAGACGTATAAACATCTTTCTTCATCTTGCGGGTTTTCTTTTACCTTCCAACTGTTTCTATATGTCCGCCACTGATAAAGATGAACTTCGCGCTTTTGTGTAACAAATTAAAAAACTGCTGTTTTAGATGAGATCTCAAAAGATATGACGAATCCATAAATTCATTGATAAACATATATTGCAGATGTAGCGAAATTGACAATATACATAAGTGACACGTTCATCGATAAGTTATGAGGTAGTGGCAAGTGAAACTTATATCCGCTGCAGAACATGTTATGCAACAATGTTTTCCCCCATTTAAGAAGCGATATACCAACTTCACCTGCTTATAGGATATATATTTCCAAACTGATTTGGTAGCCAAGAGCTTTCAACTGCTATTCAAACTTTACAAAACGTCACCGGTGTCTAATGAACCTGATGAACCACGTTAAATGTCAAAGAACGTGTCGTATTATTTTTTCTAAAAAAGTTCATCGGAAGATAGCAAGATCTTGCTGATAAATATTCAGTATCACCTTCACAAATAATACATGATGGTCTTGAAGTATAGATTATAGGTATTGACGTCGTTTATCATTTTGATTACGTGTTAAAGTGTTCTTTTTATTTGTCTTATATATAACTTAAACAGTTACTGTTTAGTCCATTTTTGGTGATATCCTTTTTGGCATGGCTCGGTATTTATATATCACGCCATTTTGTTACTAGTATTTTGCTATGGTCATTTTTGTATTCTACCTTTCATGTTTGCTTATGGCCGTGTCTATAGAGTGTCTACCTTCTATTTTAATTTTCTTTGTTTACATAGTTGTTTGTTTTATAGTGATTCAGATTATAGCATAATCTTGACTGCTGTACCCCAATTTTAGACATTTTCACCTATTATGTCTGTTTGTTTTGCTCACCAATTGGCGTCTATTTAATGGTATTTTCGCAGCTGATAAGTGAGAGGTGTAGCAATCTATAAAACCAGGATTAATACACCATTTTCTACATAAAGAAATGCGTGTACATGTTCCAAGTCAGGAATATGACAGTTGTTTTCAATTTCGTTTGATGTGTTTCAGCTTTTGATTTTGCCATTTGTTAAGAGATTTTCGGTTTTGAATTTCTTTTGACTTCGTTTTTTTGTTTTTGTTATCATTTTACGTTTTACTATGTTTGATTTGAGCCCCCACAATAAAACTATTACACAACTTCCGTTTAATATGTCCAATTTGTCAATTTCGACAAGACACGTTTATGATATCATAAAGACATTGAAAAATGCAATTTATGCAACAAAATGTTAAGATCATATTACTATATTTAGATTTAATAATAAAGAACTTATATAGTATCGCAAGAATGGATGAATGTTTAAATATGTTTTTGTAATTGTAAGGGCAACATTAGAGTCTAATTATTATTTCTTCATTGGTTTTATGATACATCCTTCGTTATCTCTGTTAAACTATTTTTCTCGACTACAGGCATTTTAGAACTCAACATATTGTATAGACACTTGCTGATTGTTGATGAACTTCAATATATAACTTAGACTTGGACTCCGATTCTACAAGTCGTGTTTGCTTCCTAAAGGAAATCTGAATATTAAGAACCGAACCCGAATATACAAAAAAAAAAAATGTAAATATTATACAAAGCATTCGTTTGCATAAAATGCAATATTTTATAATGTTTAATATATTGGGAAACGCTTTTCAATTTTTTTTTAAGAACAACAGAACTAACTTTGAAACTCCGTTTGACATGTATTTGGTTGAATTGCTTTTTCAATTTGATGTTTGCAATAATTGCCAATAGGGAAGAAGTAACCCAGCAGGCACTCAACGTTGATTCAACGTTGAAACAAGGTTGTTTCTCAACGTTGAAACAATGTCAAATTTATGTTTGATTTTGAAAATTTGAATTAACGTTGAAATTTCAACGTTGAGGTTCCAACATCCATTCAACGTTGATTTAAGGTTGAATAGTAGTTGAAAGTTTATTAATAAAATTTAGTATAAAGCTACATACACATTTATACCTGCTTTCCAATTTTTGTGCTGTTGTTAGATGTAGACAGGCAGCCTGGTTGTACAGATTTTTTTTTAATGTTTTTTTTTCTCACCAAGACAGATAAGTTAAATTGGAGACATCTAAATAAATACATCAATTGTTACTGATACAACATTCCGTGCTTGTACAGTCAATAATCTAGACCATAAATGTCATATCTTAAGATCCTGTTGGCTTCTGTGTCTCTCATATTTAAATGTTAAATTTATTGAAAAATGTGTATTTATCTATTAGCAACAAGAAAAACTACAAGAAGGAATAGCTGAAATGATTGTGTGTGTCCAATTGTATTTCAAGATAACTAAACATAATTATCTAAATTGATATACAAATAGACACCTACCATTTTTTGATATATTCTTTCTTGTAGTTTTTCTTGTTGTGAATAGCTATAAAAATACAAATCATTCAATGAATTTGAATAAAAATTATGACATACACTTTATTCCCACCACAGAAAGCATCACCAAACAGAAAGAAGATGTTGAATAGTTCTAAACAAATAGTCCTTTAGATATTAAACGACTGACCAATGTTAAGCCCTTCTTAAAAGTAGTATATCTCAAGAAGAGTGAAGACATTATTAGATCCAACTTGTGTTCAGGATAATAGCAATACTTCTGAAAATACGAAGATGCTGCATGACTGCTATTAAATCAGACAACTCTCCACAAAAAACCAATTGTCCTTGATTGTATATATGTGTAAATATATATATTACCCTCACACCTATAATTGGTATAAACAATTAAATGAATACAAATTTACTGAGGAGCAATATCAAATTTAGTTATACAATGATATTTCTTTTGATACAAGATTTATTTCATAAATTCATTTGCTATCTTTGTCTCTTTTTGTCCTTTTTGCATGTCAACTTTCTTCCACCACTTCGAGATCTTTCTGAGGCAGACTTCAAGTTCAAGCAGGAAGGATCTTTATCAGATATGTGTTTCTCAGTGACATCTTTATACTTTTGCAGTATATTTAACCTCTGGAAAAGATAAGATGATAATAAATATAAATTGAATGTCCTGAAAAGATACTCTAAATTTGAGCCACTTTCAATTTGTTTCTAGAAGCAATGAAAAATCAAACCATAACAACAAAACACATATTGTAATAAGGTAATCATTAATACAAAAAAATATATGCATTAATGTTTACTATTAGTAGTTTTTGCTAATGAAGAAGCATCTACTCGAGATTTGTAAGATTGCAGGTTTGACTATGTAATTGATAACCATGAAAACACTTGACCCATGACGTTTTTTTTATTGATGACTGCACAAGTCTATTAACATGAAATAAAGAGCTTTACTAGAATACTGTATATAAGACAAACACCGAAACATAATATGGATTGTAAGGTTAACAAAAATAGAATGAACAAGATTAAACTTTGAACACAAATGATATATACAGACAAAAAACCTACCTTCAATGATTTTATAGACTGGAATTCCCAAAACTGAATTTTGATTTTGCTCCACTTGATGCATTTCAGCCATTGATTTATTTGACAAGATTCTGTAAAATAAATAATACATGTTTACGATAATGGACTGCTAACATTCAGCGCAAGGTTCAATACACATACAGTAAGAAACATTACATGATAATGTTTTATGAAAAGGAAATATAATGAATTTTAAATGATAGTATTTACTTTGTACATGTATGTTCTCAATCATGCTAAACGCATGTCCTTAATACTAAATTCAGCTTATTCTTTTTAGTGTGTTATACATGTATGTGTAATATTATAGTCTACCCTTCACATAAATAATTGTCTTCGTCGAATGCATATTGTTGAATTTGTGTTTGGCTAGCAGGTGATAATTCTATTATTTTTCTTAGTTAACTAATAGCTAAAAGTTTCTAATGCATGTACATGTAATAATGCCATTATGAAACTTTTAGCAATTAGTTAACTAAGAAAAATAAAAGACCTTTCCTTGTTATTGTTTTTTTTAAAGTTGTGTCGTCTTTTTGTATTGATGTATGGTCATGTTGATTTAAGAGTAGTCATAAATGAAAGTGCGCACATTTAGATGCAAATTGAATGTTAACCTCATTTCTCGTATTACACAGAGTCAGAGATCACCTGAAGATCAGATAAGGGTCAGACTGACTTGTTTTAAAAATAGAATACTTTTGTAGAAAGGTTAATTAGGTCAAAAGTTATCAATGAAAATTCTATAGTTATCCTCTCATAGCGTGAAATAATACTATTTTGTTGAATTATATAATGTTATTGTACAAGTAAAAATAGTATGATTTTTCCATCACATGATCGTTCAATACTTTGTTGTCCAGTCGAAATTGATTGTTTATAATCGTCAAAAAGTATGTAGTTTACCAAGCTGTAAAGTTAAACTAAAGAAAGACACACATATATATAGTATACATATTTGGAAATTTATCTGATCACCGTAAATTATGTAAACCCTTGCGTATACCCCCCCCCCCCCCCTTTTAATTAAAATCTTTAACCATATTAATGTCTCAATGAAAATAAAAATGCTTCTACATTAAATGCTTTTAAAAATAGTATAACTGGAGAAAATTGTATATGTCAGATGATATATTCACTATGGCCCTTCCATGTGTTCTGATCTGTTCTCAGGGATACAATGTTGACGTTATATTTTTCTCTAATTGTGCAATATTGATACAAATTCAGAGTTTCTAAATACAATTCATACATGTATATAAAAACCGTGATGACCACATAGAAACATCTACTTACCATACTTGATAAACGGAAAGATGCGGGTTTAAATATTGCGAATGGGCAATCTAACTTCCTGTTCAAATCCCGCAAAAATATGAATATACAATAAAATCACGATTTTAGTTAATAATCAACTATTTTAAATTCCTTAACATGTTCAAAATATTCATTCATATTATGTGAAATGAAATTAATGCATTCTATTTCTTTTTACCTAGAAATTCAGTATCAAACGATTTACCTCCTCCCACATTCACAGAATTTTTATTTGAGATCCGGCTAATTTTATCATAATTATATTGGTGAAAACCGAAACCCTATCTTATTCTTTTCTTTATAAATATATACTGCTACGTTCATGCATGTATTGCCTTCAGTTAATGATTTTTTTTTATATAGGCCTCATATAGGCCTACCATGAGTAAATAAGTTAACGTTTATTCAATGTTGAATCAACGTTCCGATTTCAACGTTGAAATGATCAACGTTAACTCAACGTTGAATATTTGTTAATTACTCAACGTTGAAAATGTAACGTTGTTTCAACGTTGAATACACGTTGATCACCATTTCAACCTCATTTCAACGTTTATTCAACGTTGAGTGCCTGCTGGGAACATGTATATTTAAGGATGGGAGATATTCCATTTCGTTAACTATTTGCTTCATGTATTTTATCACATCAATATATATATATACCGTATAGCGGGTTATTTTCGCGGGGTGTTTATTTTTGCTTATTTTGGCGGATAAACGAAAATCGCGAAATAAATTCCGCGAAAATTTATGCATACGTTGGGTAGTTACGAAGTTAACATGGTTAAAGGATTTTTCGAAGTAAACATGGCTAAAGGATTTTGTAAACAATCTATTTTTTTATGTCGGCAGGTCAATAAAGGTATGTTAGTTTTAACAAGATAAATACCAAAGGGCATTGTACATAAATGTATTTTATAAAATGACTGTCACGTGTGTATACCTTATTAATAAGTGTCAATTAAAATAAAAGTGTAAGGTACTTTTATCAGGTAATTACCCTTATTAATTAGTGTCAAGCCATATAAGAGTTGTAAACACTCATGATAATTTTGTAACCTAATTAGTAAGTACATCATAGGTCCGGTTAATTTCTTAAATAATCAATCGTAAAATTTACAAGACGTTTGAATACCTGTAACAAATATCTAAGTTAGCGGTATTCTAATGATTAACTGTATCAGAATCTAATCAATAAATAAGAGGTCATTCCGGTAAAAAAAAATCAATTAACCATAACAAGAGACACTTGTTTGTCAAGTTTTACAGCTTTTTAACTGCAATAAATTCAGTATCCTCCAAAATATTTAATTTGGATTTACGAATCCACCAAAATAAAAACCGCCAAAATTTTTCGTATACCTTGTTGCCCCTAAATCGCGACATTTTACACCCGCGAAAATAACCCGCTATACGTTATATATATATATATATATATATCATAGGTTTGAACGTTGTTTTCAATTTAGACTTTCTTATATTTTTTCGTTTGGGCTTGTATTATATTTGCCTTCCGGTTTATATGATCCGTTCATCCTATTTCGACTCTTTCAAAATTCAAAAGTCCATCCTCAATTGAGGTAAATTATATGGCCTTCCAAATACCGTTTCGATTCCTAACATCACTGAAGAGACATTAATTGTCGACATCCGGATATGGTGTACACATTTTTGCACCTCATGTTTGCGATATACCATCTCTTCTGCAAGTTTATTGTTTTCTGTTTAGTAATAAATTAATAATAAGATCTATTTTGTTACATCTTGTGATCAATTTATTTGGCAATCGCCAATGACAGTCAGCAGGGTTTAAGAACATCAGTTGTTCGACCTGCTGGTCAAATGCGTTTTGTTAAAATATACTTTTTTGGTCTTTTGGAAAATGTTGTTTGTGCTGTATTTAGACTCCTCTACCAAGAAATTTGTTTAGCATGCACACGTATAAAAATTGCGGTTTTTATCCAACGTAATCATAATTTTGAACGTTGTTTTCAATTTAGACTTTCTTATATATATATATATATATATATATATATATATATATAAGCGCCTAAAAAGTGTACACAACAACACCAATAACAAAAAAGGAAACTATAAATGTAATTATTTATAAATATTTCGGATAACAGATATCCTTCATCAGTAAATATGATTGTGATGTTGAATGAATCATATGATTCATTCAACATCACAATCATATTTACTGATTATTTGCTTTTAACCAATGCTATTCATAAAAGTCTACAGAAGATAAGATAAATATACAAAGAAACATCAATGTAAGCTAATTAAATGATTCACTTCGCAAACATTGGCAGATAAAAGTAGTTGTTTATAAAAATGGTCTGGAGAGAGCTTTTCCAGATTTCAATAGAACTGAAATAGACAACACAAACTGGTTCAGTCAAGAGAGGCTGCAGAATAGTTCCTATTCAGATTTAAAGACGGCCAGTCTTGGTAATAATTTTTTTTTAATTAAAGGGTAAGTAAAGATTCAACATATTAACCATATGTACAAACAATGTTATAGAGTAAAACTTTTGATGACATATATAATTTTGGATTACATTTTGAATTTTGAATTAAAAAATCCCTAGTATGTCCTTACTATCTATAAAGTTTCATGAAATTCTCTTGTGTGGTTTCAGAGAAGTTGCGATGACAAACTGTTGCAATAGTATTTTTAGGCCAAAATTATTTGTTGAAATATATATAACAGTTGAATGATAATTTCCTGTCGATATGCACATCTAAAAAGTATGTCTTTATTATTTACAAAGTTTTATGAATTTTTGTGTTGTGGTTTCAGAGGAGTTACGATGTCAAGAACGGGACTGACTGACGGACGGACGATCTCACGGACTCACGGACCGACAAACGAACGGACATACATGTCAAAAACATTATACATTAAGAAACTTTGTTCTTTGGAGTATACTTACAGTCAATGTCATTCTTATCAACACTGCATAAGGACTATCATAGCATATAAATACAAAATCACCTAAATGTACACATTGAAATATACATACATTGCAAATGTAAGCTGTCATGTTTGAAGCATTGAAGCAACAAAGTCCCTCTTACCCCAAGAGATGTTTGAAAAAAATATGCGGAAGTTAGACATTCAGATGTACAATATGCTCATTTTGAAATTCATTTCTTGTCAGTAACAGAAGAAACCATTGCAAATCAAAATATTCCAGTCAAAGTACGAAGATTAAAGTATTAAACGTTGATTGATAAATTAAATAAGAAGACGATTACAGTAATACCTTTGATTTATACAATTGTGTAAAATGTGAATTAATAACTTGTTTTATATTTATCAATTAAAGGCGATAATAGACATACATCAATGATATACAAAACACAACATTAAGGTATATAGATAATGAAATATATGCTATTAACTGTAACATACATATCTGGTTTTAATTAAAGGAAAATGGCATCAACATTTCCCGGATACTGTAAAGCATATATAACTTTTTGTATTTCTATAGGTCTAATTTTTCCCCAAGACCCTTCTATGTAAATATTAATTGGGGTGGATGTTTTGTGGATGTTGGTTGGTTGCCTGTTGCTGAAGGCCATGGTTTTAATTACTATAATTACGAACCACGTGATAAACTGATGTTACTATATAGTCCAAACAGTATATATATATATATATATATATATATATATAGATATGAAATATGATGAAAGTACGTACACCCTTCAAAACTGCAGCTTCATTTCAACGGGAAGATTTGTTTAATAATTTGATAGCATCCTTAAAAGGCTGAACCACTTGAGTAAGCAGGATATTTCAAAGATACCAGGACGTCTTAATTAACTGATTTAAATTAATTCATATCAAGATATTGACATCTTTATTTGCATACTTTTTTACTTCGTGATTGAAAACTAACTGCTTATTTTACTTTACCTTTTATATACAAATAAGTTTTTGCGCCATCTATAAATTAAGGAAATCAAAACGTGTTTTGTATCATAATTCATATTTCAGTAAATGAAGATAACACTTATTATTTTTCGTGCGTAGGCAAGCAAGACGTAAACAGTCAGATTTATTTTATTTCCAGTGTTCCAACAATTTATCAAATGTATGTACCACTATTGATAGTAAAGTGTACCATAGTATTGTAATGTATAGGCACTTAGTAAAATTATGTATTTTGGTTATCATATGGAATATGTCGTTTTATCAAATATCTTTTAATATTGCTGGTAGTATCTATAAAAACATAATTGTATGTTTGAAATATCCATATTGTGATATAATCAATTTCAGGTAAACCAATGATGTATACATACTTAAGAAGCAATGTCATATAATCGAACCGTAAAAGAATGTACAGGAATGAAAACAGAATAATAATAATAATAATAATATAATAATAATAATAATAATAATAATAATAGTAATAATAATAATGATAATAATAATAACAACAATAGCAATTATAATAATTATCAAAATCATACGAATTATTGTAAACATGATAATAACAGTAGGTACAATGTTCGGCTGGAATCGTGTTTTGTTGATCGATTGGAACGATGTCCATGTTAACATTTTGGAAAGATCCAAATTTATGTGTACCGATGTCGTTTAAATAAAGTAATTACGTGATATGAACAATCTTCATGCTAGCGTGATATAGACTTCATACATTATATATTCATGATAAAGAATATCTGTATGTGAGCAAAAACAGGTGGATTGATACGTTCGTACATATAGTGTGCTAAGCTGGTAAGACTGTTTTTAAAACTGAAAACACATCCAAAATGCTTCATGTACTATTTGTCTTGATGGTTATTGTTTTCTCGTTCTAGAAATGGGAAAACAATGTTCAAATGCTACTAATGTGAAGAGGAGTCTAATCAAGGATATGTTATAGTTGGTCGCACAGAAATCAAGCACTAGCATAGCTTCCTCAACATCAGAAACTTAAATAAAAATAGAAATGTTTTAAACACCAAAAAT